GTACCCCAAACTTGGTAAAAAATCAAAGACTTGCTTGATTTTCTTTATAGTGATTTGTATATTTAATGATCGATATGTTAAAAAATCTTGCTTTGATAAAAAAAAAAAATAAATCCGTGGCAGAAAAATCTTTTTTTCTCTTCCTAACATAATCTTTTAACTGTCTCAAGATAAAATTTAGAAAATGTAAAGTTATATATTATTACCAAAATTACCACTACGTGGAAATTGTACGATTGGATTATTAATTTATATATTAATTTATTATTAATTAATTAATTGATTTCTTGACGAAAAACTTTCTCTACGATTTCTTAGTAATATTTTTCTTATTTCTTAAATGTATAGTTTTTGTCTAAATATTTTGTTCCATTCCATGCTTTGTATAAATTTAAAAATTTTTGGTCAATCGTTATCAATTAAAATATAGGTTTTATGCAAGTAACATTTTAATTTAAAAAAACATTATTTTTTGTATAATTTGTTAATTTTAAATAACGATAAAATTAATGAGTCGCCAGTGATGAGTAAAATCATACAAATTTATTGAAATTTCGACCTAACTGGCTAGTACAATTTAATTAGAACACACGTTTTTTCGACCCTTAGGTACGGGTCCTTTTCAAGTGTAATTTTCAGATGTTGATTCGACAGCAGTAAAATTACTAATGTATTAGTACTTTTACTGCACATTAGTAATTTTACTGTTGTCGATCTTGAAAGTTACACTTGAAAAGGACCCGTACCTAAGGGTCGAAACGTAGTGTTTCTAATTAATTTGTACTGGCCCAGTTAGGTCGAAATTCCAATAAATTTGTATGTTTTTGTTAATTTTGTTACTTGTTTAAATATGTTCGCTAATTATATTGCAAAATTGAATACATAAATTATTTATTAGACTGTGCTTGGAAAAGTGCACAAAATGCACTTCTAACGCATCGTTTGTTGACGAGATCGCTATTCTGATAAGGTCAGAGAATTCGATACTATTGAATGAAGATTATCGGTATAAGCAGATGGTAATATTCTTTCACGTCACATCGGGAGTACAATGGACTTGCGACGTCGTAGAACCAGAAAGCAAACAGAATACGAATGGAGCCGACTCGTTGCATGAGTAGATCTTATCGCGATGAACTGTCAGGGGTGGATCACAGGATTGCTCTTATCCCAGCTTGCCCGAGTGTTCATCCCCTTTGACGCGCAACCTGAGCTCAGCCTCGATAACATAATGATGGTAACGACAACGCATGGTGATGCTATGATAAACCATATTCAGTTCAACGATAAGTGTGAAGATTAGTTATAACTTTTTATGTATAATCTTTTTGTAGATACACTGTTTGTGAATCTTTCAAAATCAAGCTAAAATAAATATATAACTCTGCATATAATGTAATGTATATATTTATGAGGGAATATAATAGAGAATGGAAAAGAGAGAGAGAGAGAGAGAGAGAGAGAGAGAGAGACTGGAAAAAATTATATAACTTCTTGTAGACTCTTCAAAAAATTGCACACTTTGTGTTTTTTTATAGATTCCAATTAGATTGCGGTAGGTGTTGAAGGGTTTTATGAAAGAGCACGTGTCAAAAAACCAAGCTGACAGATCGCGGTGAATTAAAAGCGCCTATATGTGTGTATAAGTTAGAAGCTGAAACAACAAAGGGATTAAAATGTAAAATTAAAAAATTTGCAAATCTATGTATATCTTTTATTACATTCACAATTAGTTATATAACAAAATATTATCAAAAAACTCGAAAATTGCAGAAAGAGAATAAGAATATATAATTAATAGATAATACATTTCGTGTAATGTGCAGAGTCAGTCTTTTTTTCTGTTTAAATTTTTGAACATTTCCCTGAAAATTTATGAAATATTTGTAAATTAAAAGGGAGAAAAAGAGATTATTTCAATAAAACTTTATTTTCTTCTTTTTTTGAGATAATAGAGAAACTTTTAATTTACATATACAGTTGATGCAAAGCACGCAATCCTTGTAATAAATTATACAGCCAAAAAATTAGCGCGTTATTGTAACAGCGTGTTGGCCGTGTATGTACCAAGTGAAAATCGATACCCTTCTATGGGAAGCCAAAGAAACCAGTATTTGAAGAAAAACGATTTTGTATTGTACCCACGTTGTAACGTTTGCAATGCGGCACGCGTCACCCCTGCCACTGCCACGTGCCGGCCAATCTAAATCTAATAACACAAACAGCCCCACAATAACGTACATCATACACGCCATCGTTTGGCAGCAGGAGGTAATGGGACACCATGTGAACTAATCGCTTCAGAGTGGTCCTCCAGATCTTGTTTCGCTATTTGTTGATTCCGGCTTGCTTTCTTCTAGGATAAATGGACTCCCAACTGAATTTCACGATTAACATATTATGCAAAATATTTTTCTGTGTTCTTTCTGTCGTAGACTCATATTTGTGGTACTTGAAGCTTTAAAAATATGTACAGCCGATTACAGTATTTATTTAGTAATTGCATTTAAATTAACATTATTTTCTTTTGTTAATTAATTCTTACATTCTCTCAATATATTTACTTCCTAATTGAATTAAATATATTTTTATTTTTTGTGTATTGGTCTGCATAATAAGTATTCAAAAATTTCAAACTACTGGAGGACAGAAATAACTCTGTAGAAAATTTTCTAAGATCGCGCCTAGGATTTTGCACATGCGGAACAGTTTCCCGTTAGCGTTTTAAATAATTCTTCTATACCCATTGCATCCTTAGAGCATTCAATGGATATAATAGAAGAATGCTTTAAAGCGTCAGCGGGAAATTTGCGCAAAAATTAAAATTTATTCAATTAGGAAGAAAATATCTGTATGCTATAGCAGATTAGAGAATGTAAAAATAATCAACAAATAGTGAATATTTTAAATGCGATTATTAAATCAATACTGTAGCTCAATAATTGACTATTTTTGAAGTTTCACAGAGAATTATTCTTCTTTGATATATTTCATATCAAACTGATATGTATTAGAAATATTATTTGTTTGCATATAAGAAAATTGATACTTTCATAATGTAAATAAATTTCTAACGTTATTATCTGCTTTCGATTTATATGTGAATAAACAATTTAAATAAGCATCTGCATATTTTTTTTATATATATATTTTATATTAAATTTCTTATATAATGTTTAAAAATATGTATATATTATAATACCATAATCTTTTCAGAATAGAAATTAATTACACAAGTTCTTTCTAGTTTTGAAAGCAATTACAATTTAATACTTGTCACATTATAATAATTACATACATTTGTTCTAATAAAGTCAAGGGTAATGTGAGCAAAGGATGGCATAGAGAATAGAGAAAATCTTTTCTATCATCAAGATCTTTAGTTCTCAAAAAGTAAGTTTAATTTATTTCAATATACACCGACGAGTGTCTCCATACGCGCAAGTGTGCGTGTCGTGTTTTTTTTTGCGTGCGTACAAGAACAACGCGTCTCGTAAAAGATGACGTGACGTGACGATTGAACTAAGGTTATACAATCAATATACATGTATATAATCAACATCACAAGATTACAGAGCAGTTAGGCTCCGGGACGAAGAATGCACTCCTCTTTAGAAAGAAAAGTACACACCAAGTCGAGATATGCAAAAAGGAACTCTTTACAATAATAATTTTTAACATTTTCGCAAACGAGATATGAACTACGCTCGTAAACTGCTGTAAAATTTTCGGGGACTAACTGGGGAGATTCAATCTGGTATATGCTTCGTATACTTTCGTGAGTTGTATGAGATTTTTTTTCGTTTCGGACTGGCTCTTATCAAACGATCGAAATCAACTATATACGTTTTATACAGATCGCGTTCGATCCAATTTTTTAACGTTTTCGTCAGCCTGATTTCGTTCCTAAGTAGATACCGGTCATTTATCTAGCTTTTGTTTTAAAGCGAGGAATGGAACGGATTACAACAAGTTCAATCTGCGAAATAGAATACGAAGACATAAACTCGTGTGATCGGAGTTACGTTAAAAAATTGGATGGCGCTGATACGATAATACGGATGCGCTACATAAGATCTACGCTTATTTACATCTATGTATAATAATTTTCACTCTAGAGAATGACGATAATGTCATTTCGTTGAATTCCTGGAAATAGTTTTTTTTTCTTTTGTACACGTTGCAACAATATTTACAGATATTTTACAAATTATAAGTTACACGTTACGTTAACTAGGCGATATTGATTAATAATTAATCGTAAGGGGTAGGAAGTTAAAATTTTGAAGTCGAAAATGCTCTCTAAAACTATGGTATCTGTTATTCATTGATAAGCGATATGTCCGTCGAGCGGTGTCAGTTTCTTTAAATCTTCATATTAGAATTCGCATTTGAATGATATAAAACATTTGATACCATCTCAACTGTTTTACTCGATTCATGCGAATGGCTCTCAAGTTTCTAATTCATTTTATCTATTTTACTTATAAAATACAGAATTAAAATATTTTATAATAGAGACAATTAGATATTATTCGTCAACAATATTAAATATAGCAATTATATATTATTGTTATATAGTAATGATATATTCGATGGAAAATATATTTTTCATTAACGTCTTCGAAGCTATTTTTACATTGATTGATCATAATTAATAAATCGTTGCAATAATAGAATTAATTGTGCGTAAATGCGCAAATTGCATATTGGTCTATTTCTTTAATAATATTAATTATAAATTACTAGAACATTGTTATGTGAAAAATAAAAAAATTTTTGAGAATGATTATGATGATTCGAGCCATTCTATGATCGAGCTATTATGTTTACAAAAAGACACCATCTCGTTGTTCGATATGTATTGTTTCTTAATTAGTGCGATCTCATTCGTGATCGACGCAAGATTGTTTAGATAGATTTTTGCACTGCAGATTTGCACACGATTTCTCCTGGTGATTTCAACTCCGACGAAAATGATGGAAACGCGCATGCAATTTTTTTTCTTTTTTTTATCACAGAAGAAGTAAAAGAAAGAATAAAAATCGCACACAAGTGTATAATTCGAATTCGCAAAGACAATGTACGAGAGTCGATGCGAAAATTACGTAGATAATTTATCTACACGCGATTGCACGAATTAAATCATTAGCTCGCGTACAATGTTTTTGCGAAGATTGCCATCGTTTATAACATTTTCGTTGGAGTTTACATCTCGTAACACTATTTGCCGTTTGACGAAAGCAGCGGACTGGCAGCGGCTGAATATCCCTGGTTGCATGTGGGCAACATAAACGGATTCATGTTGAAAGGTGATCCAACCACTTCTCCTAGTCCTGCAACATTCCCACTGTCGATTATACATTAGTAATGCATTATTGCTTAAGTACTATGGCACAACCAATAGGTAAAAAATAAGCGACGAGAAGCAAGTAATATTTAACGTTTATAATGATGATTGTTTGAATAAAATCGTGAAGAGAATGTCCATGAATTTCGAGAAATATTCATGCGAGAAATAATTGTTTAATTCTATAAATAAAGAAATTGGAGATAATCAGAAAGTTTGTGCGCTCGTTCTTTTATTTTTTCGGGATTACTTTTCTGTATATGTATTTTCTTTTATTTTATATTTTCGATTTTTATTCGAAGCTTTTCATTTTCAAACTAAAAGTGTATTTATGAATGACGGCGAAGATTCATGGAATTTCCGATATGTGGATATAAATACGATCGGATAATAAATAGAGCTATCAAAAATAGAGATATCAAAATATATGGCGTTTCGTAGATATAAAGTAGAAGAAATGCATCGTAATGGTTATATTAATGATTATAATAGATTTTGTAGATGCTTTGTACATATATATAATATGTATCATTACAATTTTATTCCAACAAAATTAATTCTTTTTATCACACATGAAACATATTTGTTCACTTATATATTTAATTAATGTGTAAAAAACTTTAATAACACAAAAGCGTGAGAAAAATAAAATAAAGCACGCTGACAATTTTAAATAAATAATAGTGAATATTTTCTGCAACTAAATCAGTATAACATTATCGCGTCGTATAAATGAGCTTACATATATTCTCAAATGTCGTCTCTCATAATTCTTAATCGCAGTGCATAAGGTGATGGTTGTAATGATGGTGTTGGTGGTGATGGTGGACGGTTAGCGGTTACTGGGCGGCTGTGGCGAGGTGGTGCTGTGTGGACCAGTGCGGTGGGACTGAGGTGGTCGGTGGTCGTACTACGGGGGCGAACGCACTCCCGTCCCCGGACGTATAGAATATGCCGTATTGTTCGTGCGCTAAAACGAAAATTCCACATAAGGGAAAATCATAAATGCATGCATTGAAAAGTAACGCTAAAATAGAAAGAGCATGCATGCTGGATACGTGGATACGTGGTATTAGGTTCTCTTTGAGTTGTGCCGACAATATCGATGCCAACGAGAGATTTTTTTCACTATAATATTGTTAATTATATTTCCTGATGATTAACACGGTTGCTATTTGTCCATAAAAAAAGTAAGATTGGAAGCAATTGTGGATTTGACAAAAATTGTAAATTAAAATGGACGTTGAACTTTGGCAAAAATCTGGGAGGATTATTATCATATATCGTCATAATCGAGCTTACAATACATGAATTGCATTTTAAGTAGAAAGTGACATTGTGCAAAACCGGGATTTCATCCTGGCACAACTTGGATCTTGTAGATATATATATATATGATCGTAGCAATTTCGCATAAAGACAGGATTGTCTACACGAAAAGTGGAGAAGTAACGGACTTACGCGACGTGTAGAGAGTCGGGCTGCCGGTGTACGGATTGGCGACGGAGTAACTTCCATTGGTACTGTGACTGTGTGGTGTGCTGGCCGAACTACCGCAATAACCACCGCCGGTTACGACGCCACGTGGACTGGCACTGCTGCTCTGTCTGTAGGCATCGGTGCTCCCAACATTGGCCCCGACGCTGCTACCGCTGCCACCGCCGCCGCCGCCGCCACCTCCTCCATCGGCGGCAGCTCCTGTCGTCACGGAACTACCGTCTAGAAATAGAAACCTGCCCGTCAGACGAACTCGTCAGTATTTGATCGCTTAGGTCGTGACTGGTTGCCTAGCAAATTTAATTGCCTCGTCTTGATTGATGCGCAAGTCTTTATCGAAAAAGATTCCAAGAGTATCATTATCAAATATTACAAAAGTGTTTTCAAGTGTCTAATATGTGCAAGGGGTGGTACGAGCGTTTGTGAAGAATATTTCGAAGGAAGGATATACATACCGTCTGTCCATTTCGCCGCGCTACCGTTTTCCTGTACCGTCACCGCGAGTTGCCCTGTATACGAATTAAAGGTTGCCGAGCTGGATGTAGGAGGTGCAGGAGCGTGTACCGAACCGGGACTTCTGGGTGCCCCCGTGATCCCCATGTTTCCGCCCTTGGGCATACTATAAATGGCTTCTGCTAGATCCGCCGCCCGTTTCAATACTATTTCCTTGGGAAGCTTCTCGGGGTCACCCGGATGCCGCGGAACGAGTTTCTGTAACCTTTGGAAGCCGTAGTCGATCGTGGGTTCGTTTACAGCTGGAAAAAAATTGGTAAAAATGCGTTGATTTTTACTCTACGATCGGCCAATTTTTTAATTATTCTCGTATTGGATTCTGTTGCGAGGAATATCGCGAACGCTCGTCATACTTACAAACATAAACAATCTACCGGGCGCTCCTTTACAAAATTGTTTGCTTTTGTAATGTAACGTGACGTCAACAACGCCGGGTATCTGCCGTGCCGTTGCCTGCACCTTAATTGCATGTGCAGTGATAAACTGTAGATAAAATACGAATATTGTTACATCTGCTGTCGCGAAATTAGTTAACTCTGAAGTAGAGATTTCTAGAAATGCTGCAAATTACACTGACCTCGCTCCAAACTAGCATCGACCCGAAAACTACTTGCAATCCATCGAAAAAGTTTTCACCGATGATTATGACAGTAGATCCACCCGACGTCCAACCTTCATTAGGTGATATCGCTTTTATGCATGGCGTTTGAAGAGGTATCGGCGGATATAAACCTAATTTTGCAACACAAAAATAATACTGGCTCTTAGCGTATAATTGTATTTTATTTGCATTAAATGTAAGTGAAATCTGCTGTCAGTATAAAAGTAAAGAATTCTAAAGCATTAGTTTTTTGACGATAAATAAAAGTAAGAACAATAAAAACTCTATAAATTAAAAGTTTGATATAATTAGATAAAAAGTAGAGATATCATGGTTTTTCTCTCTCGAAAATAGTTTTGCGACTGACGAGAGGATATGGAAAATTATCTGAATATTCT